AAGAAATGTTAAAAGAGTCCCTTTAGGTAGAAGGAAGATGGTACCAGGAGGAAATACGAATCCACACAAAGGAATGAAGTCCTAACTATATTGATGGCTGTGTGCGTTTTTCCTTATCATTTGAACGTCTTTAACATGTAGTTGATCATTTTGATAAGAGAACTATGTAGGGTGGGACTTAATAACCTATGTGAAAGTAAAGTGTGTATAATAAGAGAATAAAGACTAGAAAGACATAAAAGAAAGTATGCAATTGTGAGGGTGTTGTATTGTATGAGACGTGGGGTGCTGTCATTTGAAGTAGACCGTGATGAGTTAAACCCCAAAGCAACCACCGACAGTTCCGCTCGGAGGCGTCAGTACCCCGTTCCAGTACATGATAGGACAGGTGCACAGCCGATTGGTCAGTAACGATAGAAGATCCTGGAACAAAACAGTCTACTGATTTGAGCTAATTGACATTTATATGACCCTCCACCCAGCAACAGTATACACATTCTTTTCAAGTGTAATGGAACATTTACCAAGATTGACCGTATTCTGGGCCAGAAACAAATTTCAGCAAATTGGAAGGGTTCAAGTATGTTCTCTGGCCTGTGTCAGGGATCCTTACCACCAACCCTCAGGTCAGTGATTCACTAGAAAGATGCGTGGAATTCAGAAAACTCAAGGTTTCAGTTGATTACAACAAAGGGAAAAGGTGCTTAGGGCAGAGTCTGGGATAGACCAGGCTCAACCTTTCAGTGGCCTCCGCCCAGTGGGGTCATGTGGACGGTGCTTAATTCTCCCGGGAATGATGTGGGACAATACTTACGGAGTACTGCCAATCAGGGACTCTCTTTCAAACCGTGGTGTTTAGGGTTTTCATTGGGACTCTGTTGTGTAGAAAGGGGCACCCATGGAACTGGCCTTAATTATTCAGTTTTTACTATTTCCAGAGGCCAAACTGATATAGTGTGGCCCAAGGCCTTCACCATGAATCACACTGTAACTATCTGGTGTGGCCCAAGGCCCCAGATAAACAAAGACACTCTTAATCAGGTGGGATTATCCAGGGACCTCGAGGTTATTCCTCAAGGGCTGCACAAGGGGCCAGTCCTTTCTTTGGAATGTGCAGAGTTTGAACATCCCAAGCCTGCTTAGCCTCCTCTCCCCACCCCTGCCCCCCGTCCCCTGCACAGACCATAATGGAATTAATTTAGGAATCAATAATAGATCTGGGGAAAATCCCTGAGTATTTGGCAACTAAATAATACATTTCTAAAGCAGAAATCAAAAGTTAAATTAGAAAGTGTTGTGAACTGAATGAAAATAAAAGAACAACATACCAATATTTACAGGATCCTGCTAAAGCAGTACTTAAGGAGAAGTTTATAACTGAATGCCTATATTAGGAAAGAAAAAAGGTCTCAGATTTATCCTTTAGTGTTCACCTTAAGAAATAAGAAAAGGAAAAGTAGATTAAGACTAGTGTATGCAGAAGAAAGGGAATAATGAAAACCAGAGCAGGAATAAAGGAAATAGAAAACAGGAAAACAATAGAGAAAAATCAGTGAAACCCAAATCAATGAAATCAAAAGACCCTTATTGAGAGTTTCAGTAAAACTGATAAACCGTTAGCTAGTCTGTCAAGGATAAAAAGAGAGAACATGAATTGCCTCAATCAGGAATGAGGCAGGTGCCATCCCTAGAGATTCTATAGATTTTAAAAGAATGGGGAAATATTATAAACAACACCATGTCAGTAAATTTGACAACTCAGAAGAAATGGACAAATTACTTGAAAGATATAAACCACCAAAGCTCACATAAGAAGAAGGAGATCGTCTGAACAATGTATCAGAGACATTGAATTTGTAGTTAAAAAGCTTCCCACAAAGAAAACCCTAGGTCCAGATGGCTTCCCTGGTAAGTCCTCCCAAAAACTTAAGAACGAAATAACAATTCCACACCAATTCCTCCTGAGAATTGAAGAGGAGGGAATATTTCTGAAGTCATTTTATGAAGTTAGCATTTATCAAAATCCCAAAACCGTTACAAGAAAACTACGGACAAATATTCCTCCTGCACAGAGTTGGAAAAAAGCATAAGCAAAATTTTAACGAATCAAATCTGACAGTATAAAAAAGGATAGCAGATCATGGTCAGTAGGGTTTATTTCAGGAAAGGAAGTTTCTTTTCATATTTGGAACAGTCAGTGTAATTCACCAGATTTAAAAAAATAAAGGAGAAAAAACCATATGATTATCTCAAGGGACACAGAAAGAGGATTTGAGAAAATTCAGCCTCTATTCTTGATATAAGCTCATAGCAAAATTGGTGTAGAAAAGATCTTCCACCTGATAAAGGGTAGCTATAAAACACTCAGAGTTAACATCAGACTTCATGGTGGAGGGCTGCTGGTTTTTCCTCAACATCAGGAATGGGATAAGGATGTCTGCCATCACCACTACATTCAGCATGGTACTGACGGTTCTTATAGAGTAAGGCATAAGGCAGTATATAGAAATAAAAGGCTTCCAGATTGGAGAGGATGAGGCAAAACTGCCTTTTATTTGCAGACAATGTGATTGTATAGAAATTCTGAGGGAACCTATAAAAACAGTGGTAGAATAAGTGAATTTAGCAAGGTAACTGCATTCAAATGGGTATTCCAAAATTTATTGTAGTTTTATATATAGCTATGAGCCAAAGGAAATTGAAATTAAAACAGTACCATTTGCAACACCGTGATGAATATCAAATACTTGAGGGTAAATCTGAGAAAAGGTTTGCAAGACACGTACACTGAAAAGTACAAACCATTGCTAAGAGCTGTTAGAGACCTACATGAATGAAGAGACATACTGTGTTCCTGAGTCAGAAAGCTCGATACTGTTAAGATGCCAGTGTTCCCCCAAATTGATCTATAAATTCAACGTAATCTCCATCAAAAGCCCAGCCAACTTAAAAAAAATACATTGACAAGTAGATTTTATGTGGAAATGTTACAGGCTAAGAATAGCACCCCCCCCCAAAAAAAAAAAACCCTGATAAAAGAGAACAAAATTGAAACACTGTCCACTACTTTCAAGATTTATAAAGGTACTATAGTCAATACAGGGTGATATTGGCATAAATATAGACAAATGGCTCATTGAAACAGAATAGAGAGTCTAGAAAAAGGATCACATGTATATACCCATCAGATTTTTCACAGAAGTGCAAAGGCAATTCCATGTGAAATGAAAATCTTCGATAAGTAGTATATTTGGATATCTATCTGTAAAGAAGTAAACTGCGATCTCTGTCTTGCAACATATACAAAAATTATTTTATTTTCTCTGTAAATGTTTATTTTTATTTTTGAGAGAGAATGCAAGCAGGAGAGGGGGGGAGAGAGAGAGAGAGAGCCAGAGTGATGGAGACACAGAATCTGAAGCAGACTCCACCCTGACAGTAGCAAGCCCATTGCGGGGCTTGAACTCACAAAAACCATGAGATCATGACCTAAGGTAAAGTTGAATGCTCAACTGACTGAACCACCCAGGCACCCTTACACAAATTATTTTAAAATGGATCATAGACCTAGTTGTAAAGCCTACTCTATAGAAATTTCACAAGAACATATAAGAAGAAAAGCCTTTGGGGGCACCTGGGTGGCTCAATTAGTTAAGTGTCTGACTTCAGCTCAGGTCATGATATCATGGTCCGTGGGTTTGAGCCCCACGTCAGGCTCTGAGCTGTCAGCACAAAGCCTGCTTCAGAGTCTCTATTTCCCTCTCTCTCTGCCCCTCCCCCACCTCCCTCAAAAATTAACACTTAAAATAAAAGCCTTTGTAACCTTGGGTTAGGCAAGTATTTCTTAGCTAGGAAACTCAAAACACAGTCTGTACGAGAAAATATTGATAAATTTGACTTCATCAAAATTTAAGATTCCTGATCTTCAAAAGACATGTTAACACATGTCTTAACATCATAGATGAGAGAAGATATTAGCAAATCCCATATCTGATAGAAAACTTGTATTCACAATATATAAAGAACTCTTAAAGCTCAATAATAATAGAACAAACAACCCAATAAAAATGGATAAAAGATTTTAATAGACATTTCTCCAAAGAAGATCAATGGATAACACATAAGCACGTGAAGAGATGGTTAGTTCCATTAGTCATTATGGAAACACCCATCAAAATCACAGTGAGATCACTTTACACCCTCCAGGAGAGCTCTAAGAAAACAGACAATAATGAATGTTGGCGAGGATGTGGAGAAACTGGACCGCCCCATAAATTGCCCCATAATTGAATAGTAAGATGGTATTGGCACTTTGGGAAACAGTTTGGTATTTCTTAAATAAACTTATTATCTGACCCAGTGATTCCACTTCTAAGTACATACCCATTAAAAGAGAATTGAAAAGGGGCACCTGGGTGGCTTAGTCGGTTGAGCGGCCGACTTTCGCTTAGGTCATGATCTCACGGTTCGTGGGTTCGAGCCCCGCGTTGGGCTCTGTGCTGACTGCCAGCTCAGAGCCTGGAGCCTGTTTCGGTCTGTGACTCCCTCTCTCTCTGACCCTCCCCTGCTCATGCTGTCTCTCTCTCTCTCCTAGAAATAAATAAATAAAAATTAAAAAAAATAAATAAAAGAGAATTGAAAAGATATGTCCGCACAAGAAAATTGTACATGAATGGTCATAGCAGCATTTTCATGATAGCCAGAAAGTGGAAGCAACCCAAACATCCAGTAGTGGCAACTGGATGGGTAAAATGAAATCTGTCCGCAGAACAATACAAAGAAATGGAGAGCTGCTGCAATTTGGATGAAATTACAAAATTATCGAAAACCTTATGCTAAGTGAAAGAAGCTACGCACAAAAGACCACATATCAAATGACTCTGTTTTCATGAAATGTCCAGAAAAGGTAACTCTCTGGAAACAGGAAGCAAATTAGTGGTTGCCTCTGCAACTGCATTGTGTTGACAGCCACTGGCTCTGAGTTTATTAAAAGCTGCTGAAGGGTGTGATCAGGGCAGGGGGCCCGAGGAAATGGCTCCTCTGTTTATAACACACCCAACAGGAATCTGGGTTCATTGTGACAAGTGGCACAAAACTTGTGGTTTTCCTATGAACAGATGCCCTGCATGTGTCAAAGAGAAAAATAAAATAAAAAAGTTGTTGAATTGTGTACTTAAACTGAGTGAATTTTGTGTGGCATGTAAATTATCCCTCAGTAGAGGTTTTTTGTTGTTGTTGTTTTGGGTTTTTTTTTCCTTGTTGTTGAAAAAAATTAGGAGAGCCTAATACTGGGGAAAGAATAGATAAATAAATGAATAGAACAGAACAGAGAGGCCAGATAAACCCATTCAACTATAGTCAACTGAGTTTTTTAAATGAGGATATGAAGCTTTTATTATTATAGAAAGAGAGGGAGAGATAGCATGTGAGTAGGGGAAAAGGGCAAAGTGGCGGGGGTGGGGGGGGCAGAGAGAGAGAGAGAATCCCACGCAGACTCCACACTCTGCACAGAGCCCAGTGTAGGGTTTGATCCCACGACCCTGGGATCATGACCTGAGCAGAAATCAAGAGTTGGACACTTAACCAACTGAGCCACCCAGATGCCCCATATAGTCAGCTAATTTTTGATAAAGGCACAAAAGCAATTCAGTGGGGAAAAGATAGTTTCTCCAACAAATGGTGCTGGCACAGCTGGACATCCACATACAAAAGAGAAAAATCTAGACACAAACCTTACTCCTTTCATAAATGTTAACTGAGAATGAATTAGACCTAAGTATAAAATGCAAAACTGTAAAACTTCTAGAAGATAACATAGGGAAAATCTAGATGACCTTTGGTTTCGCAGTGGGGTTTTAGATCCCACACCAAGATCACAGTCCATGAAAAAAAATTGATAGTTTAGACTGTATTAAAATGAATACCTCTCATTCTGTGAAAGACACTGTTCAGAGAATGAAAAGATAAGTCATAGACTGTAAGAAAATATTTGCAGATGTTTGCAAATATCTGATAAATGACTTGTATCCAAAATATACGAAGAAATCTTAAAATGCAACCATAGGAAAATGATGTAATTGAAAAAAGGGCAAAAGATCTGACCAGACACCTCACCAAAGGAAGTATACAGATGGAAAATAAGCATGAGAAAATATACTCAGCATCATTTGTCTTTTGGGAATTGCAAATTACAACAAGGATACTACCATACACCTATTAGAATGACTACAATCCAAAAAACTGATAACACAAAATGCTGACAAGGATACTGAGAAATAGTCTCGTTCATTGCTGGTGAGAATGCAAGGTGGTAAAGCCACTTTGCAAGACAGTGTGGCAGTTTCTCACAAAGCTAAAAATAATACTGTTTCAAAGCTGTTTGTAAACAAAATATATTTATGAGCTATTTCTTACAGAGTCTCACCCTTGATATTGACCCATTTGAGTTGAAGACTATGTTCCCACAAAAACTTGCACATGAATGTTTATAGCAGCTTTATTCATAATTGCCAAAACCTGGGGTCAACCAGGGTGCTTTTCCCCCTTCCTTCCTTCCTTCCTTCCTTCCTTCCTTCCTTCCTTCCTTCCTTCCTTCCTTCCTTCTTTCCTTCCTTCCTTCCTCTCTCTCTCTCTAAATGCTTATTGATTTTTGAGAGAGAGACAGAGCGTGAGCAGGGGAGAGGCAGAAACAGGCTTCAGGCTCTGAGCTATCAGCACAAAGCACGACACAGGACTCGAACTTGGAAACAGCAAGATCATGACCTAGGCCGAAGTCAGACGCTTACCCGACTGAGCCACCCAGGTGCCCCAACCCGGGTTCCTTTCAATGGATTAATGAATAAATGGAATATTGTGTAGGGACAAAAAGAAACAATCAGGTTACAAAAAGGTGCGGAGGGACCTCAAATGTAGAGTTAAAAGTGAAAGCAAAGGAAGCCAGTCTGAAAAGGCCACACACTGCATGATTGCCAGTATAGGACATCAAGGCAAGACCATAACGACAGTGAAAAGATTAGTGGCTGCCAGGGGCTCAGGAGGAGGGATATGGGAATGGATGGGTGGAGCATGGGCTGTTTTTAGGGCCGTGAATTGTCTGTATGATGCTGTAATGGTGGATACTTGAGATAAAGTTTGTTAAAACTCATGAATTACAGAACACAGTGAACCCTAATGTGGTTTAACTATGGACTTTAGTTAATAAAAAATAACATTAAATAAAAGTCAAAAATCATCATGATGAAACATTGAAAAATGTTTTGCTTTTTATATGCCAATTTCACCCTGATAAAGCTGTCCAAAAAATAACAAAATCCTCGAGCCGTACTTTCTGTGACAAACTGGTGATCACTGAGCGCCCAGGCATGCTGTCCTCGGTTGTTGGCTCCTTGTGAACAGAAGTGGATCCTCCTCTTTGCTGTTCAGAACGGCCGTCTCTCTCGTGGCTTTTTGCAGCCTGGAGAGACAATTCCTGGTAAGAGCAGATTGGAAGAGGCCGTTCTCAAAATGATGGCACATGAAACTAGGGGCCATTTGCTGATGCTCAGTGTGCCTGGTCTCCTCTCTCTAGTGGGTCTGCTCTGAAGATTATCAACTAACTGGATGGGTGTTGTTTGGGAGGCCGAAGACCTGAATTCTGATTCCTGTTGTGCCATTAACTGGCTGTCAGGTTTTAGGCAAGTCACTTACTTTCACCATGGCCGGTCTCAGTTTCATGGCCTGTAAAACGAGTGGGTTTTCTAGGGGGAGGAGGGAGGTTCTCTGACTTCTTCCAGTTCTAGACCCCATTTCTGTCCATATCAGAACATCTCCCACACATTTCCATGTTGTACACATATGTCCCAGGGCACTTGACCCAGCAGAAGCCCTCTTGAGTAGCATCCCCGAGACCCTCCCTCTCTCTGCCTCCGGTTGTGGGTGGAGACTCCTGGGGCCAACTGGTTGCCCAGGGCAACCAGAAGTTGGTGCTGGTTCAGGCAACAGCTGTTCCTCTCAGCATTCTTTTTTTTTTTTTTTTTTTCAGTCCTTCATGCTTTCATACCTCCCAGCCCTGAACTTTCTCCTGGCAAAGAGGATTTCTTCCATCTCCAAAGAAATACCCACAAAGCAGCTCTGGTATTTTCTTAGCCCACAGCTGAGAGGTGGTCTGCGGGGCTGTTGTGACTCCCCAAACTCTAAGGCTCAGAGTTGGAAGATTTTCCTAGTAACTGAGAGCATTTGACATTTTTTAAAGTATTTGATTAATTAAGGGTACATTTTGGGATAGAAGATATTCTTTAGCTAGTGTTGTGCTGTGAGCCAAGCTTTGCTTACTTTAAGGACCTTGGGACATACTTGTTAGGTCTGAATGGGGTCATGGTGAAGTCCCTGGTCAGGTTCTCAACCTGAATATCATCGTCATAGGGTATTTTCTGTGTATTTGGGGTGTGGGGGCCCCTGAAGTCATGTGTCACATCAGGATAGTCTTTTAGTGTCCCATTTTAACGTTCCATTGTGTCCTTAGGGAGGGTAGAGGGCAGAGAATCTGCTTCTCTGACGGTTTGTGATATCCTGGGGACCATCTTGTGGTCCCCTAAGGCAATATTGAAAAAATTAAGCTCCATGAAAAACAACTCACCCAGTTTTTGTATGTTTGATCTTCTGTTTGTTTTTTAGGACTTTGTTTAGAGAAGTTGCCTGTTTCCTCTTCTACCAGTAACCTCCACGTGGACCGGGAGCAGGATGTCATCACCTGCTATGAGAAAGCAGGCGACATTGCACTCCTATACCTCCAAGAGATAGAAAGGGTAAGTGAGGACCGTGTGTTTGTTCCACCTGATCGTTTTTTTGTAAATTTCAAATGAGACGTAGGGAACTGCGGTCAGCCTCTGGAAAAACCTTCCGCAGGTCTGCCTCTGGGTGTAAAACTTTTCTTATATTTTTCAGTGAAGAGGAGATGGTGGGGATCGTGGCACCTTGTGAAAAGTGTTTGGGAAGCATTTTAGCATCCTCAAGCAGAAGTGACAGTGTGCCCCGGGGCTGGTTAGTCATTCGTGTTCTCCCGCGCCAAGTGGGTTGTACCTGCACGGACAATGTGCCAACATAACGTACATCTGGGGTTTGGGATCCGTAGTTACGCAGAAGGTCCGCTGGGGACTCTTGGCTGACCTGCTCGGAGCAGGTGTGTATCCCCGGGAACCGTCTGGGATGGTTTACCACCGGCAGTCGGAGGTCGCCTGTGGTGTGGGGAACCAAACCAGCAGCTGACAAACCGCAGCATCTTGCCCCGGGTAGGGATGGAGGGAACGGGAGGCCCTGCGCTCACCCCCTCAGGCAGAGGGGATCGGAGGCCCGATGGGGCTAGCCAGGTGCGGACAACTTGTCTGTTTAGAAGGATCACTGCCTTTTGGCTCTGCTCTCTCCTCAGCTTCTCTGTCTGTAAAAGGAACATGTACTTTATGAAGTTCTTGTGGGGATGGTAAAAGGTCATGTTCATGAAGGAACTTAGCCCAGATGCGGAAACATACAGGATATTTGGTGCATGCCACTTCTCTTCTACTAATAACAATGGGTTCTAGCCATCTCTGCCCTCAGCAGAGTGTCCTGGGATTCTGACCAAGGCTTTCCCCCTTCACACCCAGAGATACATCCTCTGAGATCATTTTAAATAATTGGAAAGCCTGAGAGACTTTGAAAATGACACAGGTCTTGGTTCCCATCAATCTTATGGGTTCTCTGCTTCCCTAAGGGTTAGAATGGAGAGGGGCTGCCCAGGTCTGGTTAGCTCTGTTACATCATATGTGTATCGGCTGAAGCCGTTTCTTCCCTTAAGTCTCATAGCGTGTTGATGTGTGTGCTGAGGATCAGAATTGCCTTGTGAGGGTCAAGGGGTGCAGGTGAGAGCCACAGAGAAGAGTGTGGGAGAAGGATAGGACCAGCGTTTGACCTGGCCAACACCAGCATGGGTCATAAATCACAGGTCATGGTGTCTGGGAATTCAGGAAGATACTTGGCCGTCTTGCCAAAAGGTTCCATCAGAAGGCTGCTATGAGAAAGGAATGTTTCAGTTATTCAGAATTTATGGTACGATCTTTAGAGAAATGATCGTGCAGCCTGCTTTAAAATCCACATTGTCTGTATTTACTCTTTGTCGCCCTGATAGCCAGTGCTTGGAAGTGGAGACGTCTGCTTACCCCAGTCAAACGGTTCTTGTTGACCCCGCAGCCCTTGCCACTTAGGGGCCCTTATTTTGCTCCTTACCTTCCAACAGCTGTCCAGCCCTGTTATCTGGGGGCTGTCTTCTCCTGGCCGGTAGAGAGGAGGTTCGTCTGTGACACGCGTCTTTAATGATGTGGGGACTGGCAGATCTGGATGTACTTCCTGGTGTGTTTTTTATAACCACTGGTTCACTGTGGGGTTCTCCAGCCAGATCACTGGGGAGACTTGTATAATTGTGGGATTTAAAAGAAGTGTGTGTGTGTGTGTGTGTGTGTGTGTAGTTTTGGGGAAACAGTGGTCATAGGATGTGAGATTTGGAGGTGAAAATGGAGGCCCAGACAGGGAGGACACACAGGAAGTTAGGACAAAAGTTAGACTGGAACTCTTCTGACACATGGTTCAGGACTCACTCCTGTCAGGCCGCTGCACACAAGTACACAACAGTGTCGTTTCCCATGCCCTTGCCTGAAGAAAGGGCTCGGAAGTTATTTGGCCAAAGGAGCTGTAGTTCTTGGTAATATGGGGATGCAGCCTCAGCCTAGGATGCAACCTCGGGACTTAGAGGATTTTTACATTTCCCACTCTGAGTTTCCAGTGTGAGTTTTCCTTTATGGGAAATCACTTGAGGCCTCCCCAGATCAAGCTTGCTAGGATATTAGTGATGCGAGAGACCGAATGACCCAGATTATCTGTTTTGACGGTGGTAGGTGCTCAAGAAACCATTTGTAGATTAATGGGAAGTCTGGGGGAAAAACAGCCTTTCTGAGTGACTGCTGGGCCTGATGGATGTTCACGGTCTTGATGAAGAAAGATTGGGGTTCTATGCAGAAGATACCTGTTTGGCCTTTTTTTTTTTTTTTTTTTTCCTTAATTTTTTTAATGTTCATTCATTTTTGAGAGACAGAGCATGAGCATGGTAGGAGCAGAGAGAGAAGGAGACACAGAATCCAAAGCAGGCTCCAGGCTCTGAGCTGTCAGTATAGAGCCCGACATGGGGCTCGAACTCCTGAGCTGTGAGATCATGACCTGAGCAGAAGTTGGGTGCACAACCAACGGAACGACCCAGGCACGCCTTATTTTTTAATTTTGAACTTCAAATGAGTTTTAAGAATGATACTAAATTGAAAGCAGAAATGTTAGGGAAATAGAATCTGAAAGAAGTAACAGACTAGGACAAGCCTAGGTTAAGAGCGCTTTGTTTTTCTGGGTAGGCAGGCCGTTTAAGTAGAAAATCCCACACACTCTGTTCCAATACTGGTTCTACTGGCCATAGGCAGTAGTTTTCCCCCATTTACCAGCCATTCCACAGCAAAGAAACTTCTGTTGGCCAGGACCTTCAGCATTTTATTTTCGTTCGTTTGTTTGTTTTGGTTTTCTTAGCGATTTTCTTCATTCACTAGCAAGAAAAAAAATTGGAGAACTTTTGAGGACAGGTTGGAGTGTCATGGCCATTATTGTTTTCATGATCTGATACCACCATATCATGTGTCTGAGGCAGCCCCGTTGTCTGAACGGTGGAGATGTTTGAGGATGTAAGATTTGTGAGGCGGCAGAGCCCAGTGCTATGGTGGCAGCCAGGGCGGGGGTCATGGATGTGCTGCCTCCTCGCTGTGAGACCTCGGGCAAGTTACTCAACCCTTCTGTGCCACGTGAGGGTCCTCATCTGTATCAGGGCAATAATAATTGCTCTAAGGCTGCCGTGAGGAAACAATGGGTTCACTCATGTACACATTGCCAGCATACGGTTAGCGGTGGGATCTTCCCTAATCTTAGAAGATTTCAGATAGTTGGGTAAAAATCTGGAATATTATTTACACACTGTTTTTATTAAAAATGTGAAATAATTTTTAGCAGAACATTTATGGAGTGATCTTTTCTTCCCCCAGAACTTTTCCTTGTCTTGCGCAGAAACTATAATGGGACCACACCTTACCTGGAGTCCTCATGTCATATTTGGATTCCGGACTCTTGTTTACCCCTGACTGTTTGACCTTGGTCCACTCATATATTTCTGTGTGCTTCAGCTTTCCATTGTCATGGTGGGGCTGACACTACCTGGTTTGTTTGGGGCTGGTGTTTTCCAAACCCCTCCCTATAGGATGTTCCGTGTGTTGCTGTCCCCTGGCCCCTTGTCCTAAGATAGAGGCAGCGCCGAAGAAAATGTGAATCCGTGAAAGTAGGGGGATTAAATATTTGTTTAGAGCTGTCCTCGTTACTTTCGGGTTAAAGAGCCATCTAATTTTCTCGGATAGTTTGTTCTCTGAAGGGGAGTAAGACACTCCTAAAACTGTGCACATACAATAATTTAATCAAACAAATCGAATTAGAACAGATAGAATTAGAAAGGACACAGGCTGTCCTTGATTTGTTTATCTGGAGCCGGTGGCTTGATGCCAACGGTAAATAAAGTTACCTGCCGCGCAAGGAGCGTCTCCTGGTGCAGCGATCAGAATAAAGATGACTTCATTTTCGAATATCATAACACGAGCCCTGCTTTTGGCAAATGAAATCATCCCGTCTGTGCCCTTCGCACGCCTCAGCCCCCCAGCTGGTTTCGGCTTTCTGGAGGAAAAGCCACGCTGGGGGACAGCTTTCCCTTCTGCCGCCAGTTCATTTCTTCACACTCGATTTTAGAAACGAAGTCACTGCTAAGTTACGGGAGACCCAGAGATGTTTCATGGGCGGTTTTATTTATTTATTTATTTTTTTAATGTTTTTTTTTTTTTAAATATTTTTATTTATTTCTAGGAGAGAGAGAGAGACAGCGTGAGCAGGGGAGGGTCAGAGAGAGAGGGAGTCACAGACTGAAACAGGCTCCAGGCTCTGAGCTGGCAGTCAGCACAGAGCCCGACGCGGGGCTCGAACCCACAAACCGTGAGATCATGACCTAAGTGAAAGTTGGACGCTTAACCGACTAAGCCACCCAGGCGCCCCTATTTTTTTAATGTTTTATTTATTTCTGAGACAGAGAGAGAGAGAGAGACAGCGTGAGCAGGGGAGGGTCAGAGAGAGAGGGAGGCACAGACTCTGCAACAGGCTCCAGGCTCTGAGCTGTCAGCACAGAGCCCAACATGGGGCTCGAACTCGTGGGCAGTTTTAGTGCTGATGCTTTGAGGAGAAACAGCTGGTCCCCAGATAGTTCAGGGCCCAGCCTGGAACTCCTGCTTCATCAAGGCGTTGCTCCCTGGGCAGCGCGGCCAGGCCTCAAGTTTATTCCCGCCTCCCTGCAAGGAGGCACCCGCAGTGATGGAGCTGACGTGCTGGACTACGAGGCAGGTGACACTGAGATCACCGTGCGTCTTGAATTCAAGCGAGGTGTCCCAGAAGAAGTAGTCCACGCTGCTGTTGCGGAAGGCAGGGTGTCGCTCTGGAGGCCCGTGTGGCCATGTTTTTGGCTTTAAAATGTGACAGTGCACAAAAAGATCCTTGCTTCCCTTCCCGTCTCCAGGGCCTACCTTTCCGCTCAGGCCAGAGCAGCAGGTGACGGTTCATAGCTTACGAAATTGTTTCCTTGAAGAAATGTCAAGAGACTGGCCCAGAAATGTGCTCTGACTCTGGGCCTGCCATCTGGTTGCCTGGGGTAGGAGGC